GCTGTGTCCCCCATGGTTCAGGATTTGCTGCGGTTGTATGGACGGACTAGGCCAGGACTGAATAACAGAACCAAGCAGGAAACCTATACCGTTAAGAACAAAATGTCGCCTACGCGTTGACAGGCACTGAGGAAGGAGGAGCTGAACCCAAACAGCTGGCACAATCTCACAAGATCCCGCACATTGGTGGGACCAGGCTCCCGAGGAGTAAGACTAAGGAGAAAGGCAGGTGTATCCGCGTGCCAGCCAAGCCCACAAAAGACAAAGCGGCGATCCAGAAGTCTCTTTGCTTGTTGTGACTCTTCCTGTCAAGCGCGCCCCGCGAGCGAGCAGCCCTTGCAACCAAGCGCGGTAGCAGGAGAACAGCTCCACGCACAAAGCTGGCACAGAGCTGAGCCAAACAGTGGGATGCGGGACATTGTAGGGAGACGGAGACTCTTGGCAGCCTAGCACAGTAGCTGAGAATCTATCCCGATGGGCAGCAGAGCTTGAAGGGAATCTGTGCAAGCACAGGGGCAGCTGGTTCATGAGGATCGAGGTCCTCGTGATCACTGCGTACACCCAGCGCGCCAAGTGCAGCAGCAGCTCTCGAAGCGATCAGCGTTCCTATAGACTGTCTGAGCAACCTCGAAAGGGACCTTTGCCTCACGTATGACACCCCGCAGCTGGCAAAGTACGAGCAAATAAGGTCGGAGGCGCAGACTGGAGCGAGAACACGGGCGAGGCAAAGCTTCTGAGCGAGGGCCCTGCACTGTTCCCTATATATATAGGCACCTGCTTTTCCGCAACCTGACCCACCCAAGCTCAGCAAGGAAAGAAGTACTTTGCGTGCGAGATGTGCAGCGAGAGAGACAAATCCAGAGGGACGGTGTCAGGCCGGGCATCAAACTCAGCGCCGATGGCTTGAAACCTGTCAGCAGCAACGACATCCTTCTCAGGTGACCCTTGCCAGAACTATAACTACACCGAACCCGCTGCAGTACGGTGGTTCTGCTCAACCGCAACGGGGCCAGACCTGAATTGCCGCGCCCGGCGCAGTAACTAAGCCTGTTGGTCTGGTTTTGCTTCCACAACCGGGCCAGACCTTAATTAGCACACCCCGTTGCGGCAATTGCGCCCTGTGGTTCTGCTTCGGATTTGGCAACCTTAAGTACTGCACCCCTTGCAGTAATCAAGCCCGGTGGCTCTGCTTCCGCATCCGGTCCAGACCTTACTATACCTTATTTACGAACTCTTGGCAGTAATATGCAGCAATTAAACCCGGTAGTTCTGCTTCCGCAGCCGGGCCAACCTTATAATTACCGAAACCCCTTGCGGTAATTTAGCCGGTGGTTCCACAGCGAGGTCCGACCTGAATTACCGAACCCCCTACAAAAATAATCAAGCCCGGTAGATTTGCTTCCGCAGCTGTTCCAGACCTGCATTACCGCACCCGTTGCGGTAATTACGCCCGGTAGTTCTGCTTCCGCAGCCGGGCCAGCCTTAATTACCGAAGCATTTGCAATAATTAAGCCCGGCGGTTTTGCTTCCACAGCGGGGCCCGACCTGAATTAATTTCCGAACCCCCTGCGGTAATTAAGCCCGGTGGTTCTACTTCCGCAACTGGGCCAGACCTTAATAATTAACGCAGCCGGCGCGGCACTTAAACCCGCTGGTCCTGGTTCTGCTTCCGCCACCGGGCCAGACCGTAACTGCCGTGCTCGGTGCGGTACTCAAGCTCGGTGGTGCTGCTCAAGTAAGCCCGGTCGTTTTGTTTTTGCAACCGGGCCAGACCTCATGATTACTCAACCCCTTGTGTAATTAAGCCCGGTGGTTCTGCTTCCGCAACCTGGCCAGACCATACTTAACTATCGTACCCCCTGGGGTAATTTAACCCGGTGGTCCTAATCCGCAAGGTCATCTCGGCCCAAAACTGGCTTCCGGGCATCCAGCCTCAATTGCCGCAAGGGGGTTTGGTAATTGAGGGTTTTGCAGCGTGATTCGTGGGCGCGGCGCAACTTTTCGGGCTTGACTCGCGTTGCAAAATCCTTACTCACCGCACTGGGTGCAGCAACTAAGGACGGAGTCCTGGAATTAAGACCGGAGGCCCGAGAACAAATTAAAATTGGTCAGTGAGACCACTCTCTGCCTAAGCAAGTTATGACTGGAAATCCGCAAAGGGTTCTGAGCCACTCAAAAAAAACAAGCGCAGGTGTATCTTTGTGCGTGCTTCCGGAAACAGAACCGCCGGGCTTAACTCCAGACGCCGGTCAGTAATTAAGGTCTGGCCCGGCTGCAAAAGCAGAGCCACAGGGTTCAATCACCAAAAAGTCGGTCATTGAGGCTGGGTTTCGTAATTAAGGTCCGGCCCGGCCGCGCAAGCAGAACCGCCGGGCGTAAATGCCGAGTGCGGCAATCAAGTGTTGGCCAGGAAACAGAACCACTGGGTTTAATTACCGCACCGGGCACGGTATAATTACCGTGGGGGGGGGGGGGGGGGGGGNNGGGGGGGGGTGGTAAATCCTTGACTGCCTGGGCCTGGTAGGAGCTGGTAGGAGTGGCTTGGCCGCGTGGCTGCAGAATGCGCTTGGGAACTGTCGGGCCTGCCAGCATGTTTGGCCGAAGCCCCTTGCGTATTGCCGGCATCAGGGGTGTCCCAAAATCCTATGTCGTCTCCAAGCCTCCAAGCAGCTACCAGGACGCACTGAAACACACCGTACCGGAACAGGCTAGTGACTAGTGGCTCGTGCAGCAAGGCCTTTGGGCCTCACGAGCAGTCACCGCATTAATCCTTGATCACCGGAGGGTTTCGAAAGTCCTCACCTCACCGGAAGTTCGCAGCTCCTGTCAACGAGCTTGTCCCAGCAGCTTGGGGGGTCTCAGTTTCAACGTCCGGAAGGCGTGCAAGTGGTGAAGCAAAGTTCGGTAGCCTCGTCAACCGGCCCTATACAACCGAAACCTGAAGCGCACCCATCGTAGCAACCAAAGAACCGAGGCGATGGGCTGGAGGAGGTCTAGCAGCCGGGGCACCCAAAGGAAGCTCGGCTACCAGACAGCAAGGAGGGCGCGGACTGCACCAAGAAGCCACCCAAGCACGAAGGCAAGGCCCAGGACAGACAATGAAGAAGGCCGGCAGTAGAATGGGCCACAGATTCGAGCTCAACCCCGAATGAAACACCTGGGCAACCCTGAAAAAGTCCATCCACGGGTTGAGCACCGGTACATACATGAGCCTGCTTGCTTAGTTATCGCCGAGAAATGACCAGATAAGGACCCAGCAAATAGATTTGGAGGGCCCACAATTTCCATCTGGATCTTCCGACTACACGGCTTTTTGATCAGGTTCTCTACTACCTAAGCGAATGGTAAACGACAACTCCCGCAAGCTCCACAGAGACAGTTTTCGTGACTTCCTGCTCAAACATGGGACTCTAAGCCATCAGCTCCGAATACAAGGCCTCGGCATCCTTCAGCTCCTCCGCTGTGGCACCGCGGCCGTCTTTGCCCTGAGGTCGATTTTACTGGTGCTTGGGGTTTTGACACTCGGGAGTTAGGTCGTTTGGGTTCAGGTAGGGTATCATGGTTCGCGAGTGGAGGTTTGATGAATGTTTGAGGTTCTGGGGTGAGCTCTCTTCCGTCCGAATGTGCAACGTTCGGGGTTAGGGGCCTTCGGGCTTGGAGCTTTACGCTCGGAGTGAGGCCTGCGGTTTTCAGGCTCAAACTTGTGTGGTCCCAGGGTTTTCGGCCTTCTGCATGTAGGATATTCCAGATGAATTTGCGTTTTTGGGCGTTGCCGTGTTTATGACTGGTGGGTTCGGGGTTTTTAGAGCTTGGGGTTTGGAGGTTTGAATTACATGCCAAATCTGGACGTGTGTGTCTGCCTAAGACTCTGTGTGGACCTTCGCAAGGTGTCTGCATGCGTGCTATGGCACTATGCATTTGAATTTCTAGTCTTTCCTGGCCTACGGTCATCTAGATATAGCACAAGCAACGGAACCGAGACAGTAGGATTGCTTAGAGTATCTATTCTCTGGATCTGTTTATGCCGGACAAACGTAGCTGCCTTGCTGCAGTCTGCTAGGTCTAGGTAGAGGATGTCCAGACCTCTTAGTCAGTTTCCTGGCTTTGGTGAACAAGCATGCTATGCTACTAATTAAACATGTTGACGAAAGATCAAGCTGGGACAGAGCAATCGAATTTCTGTTGGGCATTGCAGCTGCATGGGATGCGGGGATGACGTCTGGCTCAGGGCGGCATGCCATTGACGACGTCCATGACGAAACAGGCTCGTTCGGCTTTCTTGTATCGCAAACGGTGGTGCGGGCTTGTAACAACGAAAAGTGACGGCGAAGGCCTCGGCTTCCCGAAAGAAGCCCCTCACCTCCTCTTCGGTGAGCTGCGACATTGCTGGGGCCCAAATCTTTCTTAACTGGTCCGACAGTCTTTGAAAGGAGGGTGGCCAGCAGAATTGAAGTCCGAGGCAAATACAAGTCAAGTTTATCACATGCCAGCAGATAGACTGACCTGGTTTGCACTGCTGCTCTGCTCAAGAGATTTTGAGCCAAGCTAGCGGGTCCGTTGATAAACTAGCCAGGCAAGGCAATGCGGTGTCTTTTTGCAAAAAATCGGACACTTGTAGTGCCCAGGCTGCAGATCGAGTACACCTACTACACGTCTGCTCGCAACAGCATCTAAGCTAACAGCCTAGACTGCTTCGTCACCGAAAGCTTGGCCAGGACATGTCTGAACACGCAGGACCTAGGAGCCTCGGTCACCTTCCTGTGAGAAACTCTTTGAACGGACGTCAGCTTGGTATGCAAGACATGTCCAGAAGCTCGGGAAATTCGGAGTGCTACTGCCGACTTTTTGGAATAGTTCTGTTGGGGTGGGGTGGGCTGGGCCGACTTGACATAGTGACATAGTTTGTTAGCTTTGTCAAAGGCGATGGTTGAAGACCGAACCAGAATCTCAAAAGCCCTATAATTCGACACCACTCTCCAACTCAAAGGTGTCAGCGTCACCGACCGCAGCAGCTCCGGGTACGCGCCGAGGCCTGGCCACAGCTTCTGAGCCGAAGGCACACAGCTTTGGTGTCGAAGAGAGAACTGCAGGAAATGCTGAGACTGGATGCCAAAAGAGACTTCCCAAGGTTCTGGCAGAAGCTGACGTGAGCATGCTCAGAATCTTTAGAGCATGGATGAAAATGGGCGTGGCAGGTCTTCAAGCATGTCAACTCACTATATCTACCTCAAGCAGTGATGCTTTCCCAAAACATCTGCAGCAAGTGTCGGAAGAAGTTTTGCAAACGTGCGAGCCCCCACTGGTGCTCTCTAAATCCGTAAATAAATCCCACAGCCATATTCAATACCCCATTGTCGGTCGTACACAACAACTGAACCACAAGAGTTGGTTTTAACATGTGTGCAAAACTTATGGGCTGTGAAAGATCTCACCGAGTCTGTGATCCCAAGGCGCAGACCTGGCTCTTGGCACCCAAAGAACGGGAACTCTTGCCCGGCTTCAGTCCATGCCTCCACAAGCTACAGTGTCCAAGTTGTTGGACTACGGGGTCTTGGGAGTAGGTTTCAGCTTTTGAAGGTTCGGATCGCAAGGTGGAACAATGCTCCTGCATGTCGACTGGGCTTCTTGTTTCCCCAAGCACTGTAGCAGCACCATGGGGTCCTTATGCTAAGCTTGCCGGGATTAGCTTATTGAATGAGCCAGGCGCTGCTAGACCTGCGCACGTGCGCCGGTGCACATTTCAGACCAAAGCATTCGGTGTTGCCACAATGGCCCGCAGGCCTCGCATTCATTGTGAAATTCAATACTTTAGCGCGTCAGTTTGGGCTGGAATGTGTACATTCCTAAAGCCTAGGATGGTCACACTGGCCTCTCGAAATCGTCGCGTTTTCTGCTAATGCCGCGACTGGTTTTGGATTTTGCGGGTGGTGCCTTCAAAACGCTTGAAGTGCCTGAAGCTCGAGCAGGGCCAACTATTCGGCCTCCGGGCTCCGTGTCCACAGTTACGCAGGGTTTGGAGTTTTGGAGTGATCTCGCAATGTTGCGCTGGTGCAGTTTTCCAATCGTCTGCTCTGTGGTCTCAGAGTCTATGTGTCGAAACTTCAGGGTGCCGGGTATCGAAGGGCGGAAGGGAAGCTTCTAAGGGCTCCCTGAAGATGTCGTCTCTTTGTCTTTGAAGAGTTATGCAGTGTCTGGAAAAGAAGATCCGAGCCACCGGATGCTGGAACCAGGTTGATCCAACAAAACAGGTTTCATATGCCAAGCTACCAGGGTTTGGAGGTGGCCCAGCACACAAGATGGGGTACCAAGCAAGTATTCGTTCCTTTGTTGCAGAGGCGCGGTTGTCAGCAGGACGCCAGGATTACAGCACTCGTTGCAGTTGTTAACACTGTTGCTTGCGGCTCTGCTCCGAAATCACCTCTGTGTGGCACAGGTAGCAGTGCAAGATCGGAAAACGCTAGCCTGCCAGCCGCGGCTTTTTTTATTTGGCTACTGCTGCTCTTGTTGCTGTTGTTGTTGTTGTTGTTGCTGCTGTTGCTATTGCTGTTGCTATTGCTATTGCTGTTGCTGTTGCTGTTGCTATTGCTATTGCTGTTGCTGTTGCTGTTGCTGCTGCTGCTGCTGCTGCCGCTGCCTGTGGTGCTGGTGCTGGTGCTGGTCCGTTTTAAGGTAGTCGCGCTTGCTTGTAGTTGTAGCTGTAGTCGTTGTCGTAGTTGTACTTGTGCTTGTAATAGCAGCTGTAGCAGCAGCAGCGGTGGTGCTGTTGTTGCAGTTGCTGCAGGTGCTGCAGCTGCTGCTGCTGGTGGCGTGGTGGTTGCTGTTGATGTTGATGATGTTGTTGGTGTCGTGGTTGCTGTTGCTGTTGCTGTTGTTGTTGTCGTCGTCGTCGTCGTCGTCGTCGTCGTCGCAGTCGCA